TCCACACCCCTGGTAACCACAAGTCTGTATAAAATATACCTTTTAACCCTCAAAAAAACAGAAACTTGAAGATTAGTGAAAAATAAATAGAAGATGGCTCAGAGATCCAAACTCTAATGTGAGGAGGCCTCTGAAACAAATATAGACCCAGGAAGAAGGCAAATGCTCATTTATCACAATAGGATTAGAATTATCTTTTTGCACAGCATGGAGTCAAAGTCATGTTACTGGAACAAACAGGTGAATACTCAAAAGAAAACCCCAGCCATTCCTGAGAGAAAGTATCTACAATAGTCCCTCACTACTTTCTCAAGAAGAGTCAATTAGTCAAAATTAATCCAACTACCAGGAAAGAAAGAGATAAATTCAGTTCAACAAATATTGATAGAGTACCTAGTATGTGTCATGCACTGCAGTAGACAATTTGGGAAACATTAGTGAACAAAACAAAGGTCCCTGATTTCATGGAGCTTGCATTCTAGATTGAAAGATGCGGGAGAGTTTCCTTTGATCATTTGAAACACATGTGCTTGTCACTCAGGTAGGCAGATGAAATGTACACCAGCTTAAGCCTTCAACCCAGGCTCAACAGATTTCCATAATTAAAACCCTACCAAACATCAGTATATAACCTAAAATTATAAAGTGAAACAATTTAGGATGGGTGCTTTCAGGGATACCTCAAACAAAGGTCTAGATATCAAGATTACAGAACTATCATAAAATAAGAACAGTATGTGTAAAACAAAGACATAAAAGAAGGAATCAACATTTTAAAATGCAAACTTAAAATCACAACTTTCATGCATCATGCAAAGAAGACAAAATGATTTTTAAATTCCTAAAGCATTCCCTCTGTGAAAGAATTCAAAAATGAAAAAAAAAGTTGACTTGTAGCGTAAAATGTAATTAAAAACAAAAAAGAGATAAGGCATTTAGCTTGAACGGATGACTGAGTGGATGAAAAGGTAAGCAAAATGGGTAAAAACATGCTGCCTGATAAACCTACATGTTATTTCATTTTAAATTAGTACACATGTTATAAGCTTTTAAAGGACCAGAGGAAACAGCTACAGTTTGGAGCAAGTTATACTGCCAAGGCACACAGAGAATGCAATCAATGACTACAGCAGTCAGACACTATCCATTCTAATTTCACCACTGCTTAGAGTTCAAAACAGAGCAGATTAGACCTTATGTGGATCAACCATATAACAACCAGTATATTTAACCAGTATAACAAGTATGAGAAAATCTTTCAACAGAAAATTATGCCTTAAACACTCTTTTTCTATTATAAACAAATACTGATAAAAAAATCTGAAGCCTTCAAATTTAGGTCTCCTGATCTAAAAACATATGCCTCAAAACATTAACAAATGCCATCTCAGTGGAAACTAAAATTCATCATTCCTGATTAAATGAGCTCCTAAATGCTGAAATGCCCTGAAAATCCTGGTTCTTTGAGCAGGCAGAATATTTTATGTGGTGAATATTAAGAACCTGCTGGAGAATTTGAAAACATTTCCAAAAGTCTCTCCTATTTTAAATTGAAACATGAACAAGATAACAGAATCTTCATTATGAATATGGCAGGAAATGGTATAAAAACCTGGAGAACATAATACAAGCACAGCTAGGGCAGGGCAAAGCTCAGGATACAAGATTCTATGACTGCTGGATAGGCAAACAGTAGGCACACTCAACTTAAAGCTAGGCTGGCAGGATGTTAGCAGCACCGGCTCTGTACACAAGCAGGTAACAGGAGCAGGGCATTCATGAGGGTCTTGTATTGAGGGGACCTCAGCATGTATAACACAGCACAGCATAGTAAATCTCAAAAGGGGAATACAAAGTAGCTGTTAGGGTAGGCCCATTAGAGTGGTTTATCATAACAAGGGGACTGCCAGGAAGGACTGTCACCAATAGGTGGCAGGTGTGCTGGGCTCCATAGGCCAGGGGATGAAAGTGCACCTCCGGGAGGATGAAATAGTCTGAGAAAAGCCCCAAAGGCATGAAAGTATTTGGAGAATGTAAATGTCCCAGGGTGCCTAGAAACATAGATGAGGGAGAATCGGGGTATCAGAGGACCAATGAGGTAAGAAAACCAACAAGAAAAGTGCTGGGTAACTTACTTAGGGTTCTGTGACCCAATCAGTTAACTAGAGGGTTCACTGTTGGCTCACAATTAAGAAAAAAGGAAGAGAAGGGAAGGGAAGGAAAACAAAAGCAAAAGCAGGGGGAAAAAAATCCACCATCATTTCACACACAAATTCATTCTGCTTTCTACATGGGTCAGAGGAGGGAAATCATGCTGCTATTCTTTCTTTACTTTTTCTCTCTTTCTATAGAATCTTGTTAAACCAGGTACATGGTCATCAAAGTTTAAAGCAAAAGCTCCAATGATGTGTCTGCCTAGCTATGGTAGTTTCTGCTGGTACGCGCGACTGTGTGCTAACAACAGTGCTCACCCCATTGAGTCTTTTCTCTAGTCCGTCCAACATCTGATATCCATCTTCCCACTACCTATGGAAAGACTCTTATCTGACCCTGCTAGGGCCTCTAGTTATAGAATTCACAGAGCTGCTTCCCTCAAACACCAAGCTTCTCGAATGAGTTGTTTTGTGAGCTGACCATCTTTTTTTTTTTTTTAGGCTTTTGCAACCTGGCTCATTCAAGTAGCCTCTTCTAAAAAATCACAATTTTCCTCTATATTGTTCTTCTATATTGAATTCCTAAACTAAATAAAAGCCACTCAGTGTTGGTTGGTGCCAAATACACATTCATACAATATACAGCAAGTAATTACTGAGCCCTCCCATGACAGGCACTATGCTATTCAGAGAGGAAATGAAAGTGATTCAGATATGGCCCCTGCCCACAAAGATCTTAGGCGCTAGCTGAAGAGTGACCAAAAATAATCATATCATAATCATAAGTGTGATATATACTACAACAAAGGCGAGTACTTTGTGAGAACATAGGAAGAGTATCTAGAGAAAGGGAAGGGAGGTCCGGGTCTACAGAAAGTAAGGCCTAAGCATGGTAGGGCTTGTGATTTCAGGAAATGAAAGGAGTATGATAAGACATGAGCACGAGCACTACGGGGAAAGAGCACAGATGAGATGGTGAAGAGGTGAGCAAGGGCCATTTTGGAAGCCATCTTATGGCAGAGCAATATTTAGAAGTAATAAACTGGTTGTTTCTATGAATTTTCTTTCTCCTCCAGCTGGGGGAGAGGAGCAGGAATAAAGACTTAAGTACCTGATAAAGATTCCCTTGGATGTGACTGCAAAACCAGAAGGGAAAATCTGGAGAACAGTGACCAAGGCTTAATGGGAAATGAAGTATTAACTGCAAGAAGAGGAAAGAAAGGACTCTCTGTCTCGATACTGGGGAGCAGCAGGAGAGTCCTCCAGTATAGAATATCTATCTTCTTGCTCCACTGATTCCCCACAACTGAGAGCTCTCTATTTTCCCACAGTCCTGAACAGCTGTAAGACCACTGGAAAGAGGATGAGGAACCTATATACCTCAAAGAAGGCAGATTTGAACAGAACCACTTGGAAATGTTCCCTGTGAGTGGGTCAGCTGTGGACACAGCACTTCCGTTACAGTATGAAGGAACTGGAGCAAAGGGAACCATCACAGGCTGGATTTTATAAAGATCATTCTGACTGCAGCTGGTGGAGGAAGGCAGTTCATTGGTTAGATGTGTGGCTGCAAACAGGAGGTAAACAA